AGCCAAGCAGAAAGCTCTGTTCCGTCAACTCCGTTATCTCGTAACGGATCCAATAACGATGATCCCGTTCCGTGGCCTCGAAGTTATCGGTAAATCATTCAAACATTTGGTCTGTTTTTCGTAAGAGATCTGAAGAAATCGTAATCTTTTGTTTTCTTGGGGGATATTTTCAGACAATCAATGGATCTGTTGACCGGAGTTACACCTCCGATGAGGACAAGTTTTGTCTCTTCATTTCGCAAGAGGAGACAAAGCTCTGTATTCGGTTCATTTACTTCTTCCCCAAGCAATCAGGCGCTTCTCATTAACAAAGATGAGATCCAAAACTCTGTTGTAACATCCATCAAATCATTTGTTGCTTCTCATCTTAAGCTATCAGTCCCTGAGGATCTTTCGATTCCTCAAGAATACCGTAGCTGCACGTTCTCTCAATCCGTTCTCAACGGTAATAATTGTAGTTAGGAGTGTTTCAGTCTTACTTTTGGTTAGGTTTTTGTCGGTTTTCTTAATCAACTCCATTTCACAATTAATTTTGTTATGTTCTTTCTTTTTGTTACAACTTTTTATTTTTGTTGAAGGAATCAATGTTCTATGTGGAGTATCTTTACTTGCAATGCCTTACGCAGTGAAAGAAGGAGGATGGTTAGGGCTTTTCATACTCTTATCCTTTGGTATCATAACTTTCTACACAGGTATTCTCCTCAAGAGATGTCTCGAGAATTTGCCCGGAATCCACACTTACCCGGACATCGGTCAAGCTGCATTCGGCACCACTGGACGCATCCTAGTCTCTGTAAGAATATTTTTCAAATCAATCTTAAGAGATCATCATTACTTGTGATCCTAACTTTGGGTTTGGAATTACATTTCAGATACTTCTCTACGTGGAGTTATACGTAAGTACCAAACTCTCTTTCATTTTTGGGTCAACAATGCATTAATTATGCCGGGTCTGAATCCGGATGGTACATAACTACGACACGAACACGAACCAATATTGTACCAAACATCCTAGACATTTTAATTGACTTTTGTAAAACGGGTTTTGTTAGGTCGATTTGTTATTGACACTAGTTTTTGGTTTTTTTGTAGGCATCGTGTGTGGAATACATAATCATGATGAGTGATAATTTGTCAGGGATGTTCCCAAACACATCCGTATATATCACTGGAGTATCTCTAGATTCTAATCAAGTTTTCGCCATTACCTCGACTCTTATTGTTCTTCCGACTGTCTGGCTCAGAGACCTTAGCTTATTGTCCTATCTCTCAGGTTCATCTCGTAATCAGAAAAATTCATCTGAGATTTGATCTCTTTAATTCTAAGAAATGTTTTTTTTTCCATAGCCGGAGGTGTCTTCTCTTCAATCTTGCTTGCGCTTTGCCTCTTCTGGGTTGGATCAGTCGACAAGGTTGGATTTCACCTAAGCGGAAAAGCTCTCGATTTAACTAATTTACCCGTCGCAATCGGAATTTACGGGTTCGGTTTTGGGAGTCACTCTGTTTTTCCCAACATATACTCATCCATGAAAGAGCCTTCCAAGTTTCCTATGGTGCTTCTCATCAGGTAAAAAAAAAACCTTGCTTGTAATATAAGAAAACGCTAGGGTTAGTTTTCATACCTTCTTATCACACAAAATATCAATCTTTTTTGTTATGCAGCTTTGGGTTTTGTACGGTATTTTACATCGCTGTAGCGGTTTGCGGATACACGATGTTTGGCGACGCGATTCAGTCACAGTTCACATTGAACATGCCTCAACATTTCACCTCATCAAAAATCGCAGTCTGGACAGCGGTTAGATAACATTCGAATCAACAAACTCATCTCTTCTTTCACGTTATGTTCGTAGTATTTTCTCAATACCTTTCGCATTTTCTTGAATTAGGTCGTAACACCAATGACGAAATACGCTTTAACGATCACTCCAGTAGTGTTAGGCCTAGAAGAACTCATACCGTCTTCGCCAAGAAAGATGAGATCCAAAGGCGTCTCTATGCTTTTCAGAACCATCTTAGTTCTCTCCACTTTGGTCGTTGCACTCACGATCCCATTCTTCGGTAATAAATTTCCCTCTCTCTCTCACACTTCCCCATTACCCTAACATCTTGCTCAAGGAACAAATTTCTAGAAGCAATAACATATGACCAAACTCGTTAATTTCAGCTACTGTCGCGGCTCTTATTGGATCTTTCATTGCAATGCTTATCGTAAGTCTCCAAGAGTCAATTAATATCACTCATCATGATTATGTTTTTGATTAGGAAATTAACGATCAAAATTCGGTTTTTCGTCTTCGCAGGCGTTAATATTCCCGTGTCTATGTTATCTTAGCATTATGCAGGGCAGATTAACTAAGTTTCAAGTACGAATTTATCTAAATCTTCGAATTTTGTTTCTATTTTCATTCATCATGAAATATTTTGATTGAAAAGAGTTTTGATTTTCAGATCGGAATTTGTATTATCATCGTCATTGTCGGTTTTGTGAGCGGTTGCTGCGGGACTTACTCTACCATCGCCAGATTAATTGGCGAAATGAGTTGATTTGTTATGCTATGTATCATTTTCGGTTTTTTTCTAAGAAACTTTCAAAAGAATGTATACCGGTTAAATAAATTAGAAATTCGAGTGCTAAATATACATACAAAACGAACAAATGTATTGTTAACCGTCCAAAATAATATGCCATATATAAATTGTTTTCACAATTGTGGAGTCTAAACACTCAAATTTCAAAATTAAGTAAAATCTAGTGAAAATTCAAATAATCTGAAATATGTTAATTTCCTAATAAGTTTATTCTAAAATATATGAGAATTTCAAAAGACAGGATGTCGTGTCCGAATTGTTTACATAATTATGTAAATTTTATAACTTAAGTTCCAAAATTCGAAAATAAAAAATATGTAGTGTGGTTAAAAAGTAAAATATGGTAAAAAGTATATCTATTCGAAAAATATAAGAAACAATTGAGAAGTTTTTTCAATTATCAAATAAATTAGAAACTAGAGTG